AAAATCCAGCTTTTCATTGGTAAAATAATTTTTAAAATCGGTTTAGTAGTTTAGGCGTGAAAGCATAACAAACTAACTCACTTTCACATTTATAAGTGTGAATTAAAGGCGACATCAGTATTTTTGTTTTTCGCATGTGGTTTTTTTTGGGACCGTTAACACTTCGTACAATGCCGATGGTCCCGAACGACTACTTTGCTCGCTCTACACATGCGCAGGCGCAGCTTACGAATATGACGTCGTCGTCCCAACGTATCTGTCACCTCCTCTGTCCCAAAGTATATTTTACATCATCATCACGTCAAAAGCCTTTAACAGTCCACTGTTGGACATAACCCTCTCCTTAGAAAGGAGGTTTTGGCTAACTATACCACGCTGACGCCAGACGGGTTAGTATAGGGTTTGTGTCAAGTTTTCCTACTCTCTGTAGTACTGTTGTCCTGCATAGTTTTTTCCCTTAGTCGGCTCTTACGACACCCACGGGATGAATGGGGGTGGTGACACTATGTATTCTTTATCCGTTACCACACGGACACGTTTATTTACTAAGTGGTAGAATAGTTCAATTCGCTTGTATGTCACTATCATACATATAAGCTAGCTACATTTCACATCGATTGATTAACCACAAGAACGATACATCGCCGTGCTCTTGTGTCAGTATGAGCTTATAATGGCCGACTCTCACATCGTGTTTAAGTTTATTTAGTTATTTTATTTTGAAAAAATCTACTGATTTGATCATAGCTGTACTTGAGAGTATAATGTGGCCAGGAATATGTACGTAGTATATTTAAAGATTAAAAAACGTAGGTGTATAAAATAACAGCTCTACAAAATTAAATTATTTGAAACTATTTTTTTTTAAATTAATAAATTTACTAACTAAATTAAAAAAACCTTGGTTTTGAGCTCAAAATCTTTGTTTTAAAATGACCTACGAATATTTGTAATTTTATTCACAGAGACTTACTACTAGAATGTTTTGATAATTAGAAATTATTTTAAAAGCCTGAGACAAAAGATTACATGAACCGACAGTAGAAATTTAAGCGACTGTCGGCTTAAAGAAAAAAAAACTTATTTTTAATCTACATTTCCCACCAATTTTGACTAAAATATAAACAAAAAAATGCTTTACTAGTAAATGAATCACTAATTTAAGGCTATTAACTCTTCTTATAGGTGTATTCATTTAATGCGGTGTGATATACAGCCGTATTTCAACGTCACAGCTGACGATATACTACATGCACACTACTACACATGCACTTAGGCAAATCTCATGTAAGTGACATTCTTGATCGGTGTGTCGACAATCAATGAACACGTCGAACTTAGTGTGGTTTAACTACACATTGCAAAAAGAAACTTTATGTAATAAATTTAAGACACTTTGTGGTTTGTGTTAAAATAGTTGTTAAGTCTTTGACACATTGTTATGGTTGCCTCTATGATCCACTATTTCAGATATTTATACTGTCAAGTTGACGTGATTGACTCCAAATATAGACACAGAGAGTTTAAGGTTTTTTTTCTTGGACTGTGGTACATAGGCCTCTCCTTAGAAAAGAGGTTTTGGCCTACTATACCACGGGTTGGTACAGGGTTTGTTTCAAGATTTCTTTCTCTTTGCAGTTCTGTTGCCCTGCGTAGTTTGCTCTCTTAGTCGGCTCTTTTGACACCCACGGGATGGATGATCCGTGGTGGCACTCCATTCTCAATCCGTCACCACACATCATCATTCGGCACTATACTTATTCCTAAACGAAATACGTATGTGGAAACCAAGGGACACACAATGATTAGGGTTTATATTATATCATGTTTTGGTTTCATCGTGGTCTTACATAAGACCAGTTCCGACTTCATGCAGTATAAGATAACAGCATGATACACACACCATTGTTTGCTATATCCCTCAAATCGGCTGGAACCTGTTCGATCTATTGTATGTGATTAATTAATTTCGCCACACTTCCATTATGGTTGTTTGATTAGATGCTTTCAAATGAATTTTATTAGAATATATTTATGCCATAGTAATGTAAGTATGACATAATAAGTTCAATACTAATTTATTATGGAAAGAAAATGTAATTGCGTTCGTTTCATTTTTTTTCTAAATAAACTCTGAATGATAAAATGCAAATTAAAGGATGACATGACGTGGTGACGTGACGTGACGTGTAGAGTAAAAATACGAAGTGTCACTACCCCTATTCATCTATGGGTGTCGTAAGGGAGCAAACTATGTGGAACAATAGCACTGCAAAAAGAAGGAAAACTTAACACAAAACCCTATTGCCAAAACGTCTGGTCAGCGTTTTAATAAGGAGTAAGTAAGACCTCCTTTCTAAGGAAAGGCCCATGCCCAGCATTGGACTATTATTATGGGCTTTCAATAGACTCTCCCCGATCAAAGCAACCTAGTAAGGTGGGGAAAAGCTACTGAAAAGGCTTGTATGATGTGAAGTGCGGCAATAGGTACAGGCACTTGTAAGGCGCTATTAGACCGGGGTCATTATTCACGTCGCTATGATAAGGTACTAGAAATCATACGCGAAGTTATAAGTTTATCACTGGCGAGAGCGAAACAAGGAATAACAACTGTTATCGCGTTTGTAAAGGAAAACTCAACAAAAAAGACTTCACTAAAGCCGTACTCAATTATACTCGTAAATACCGCCAGTGACTGGACATTATTAGTGGACACGTATGAGAATCATTCCAGAATACCGGAGAATACAGAATACCTCGCACCCACTTCCACGGCATACCAGCTGAGCGTCGCAAGGAGTACTGCCTAAAACTATACCTGGGTCGCAATTCCCAGGCGCTGTCGAAATCGCAGGTGTTGCTCCCATCTACCACGCGATGAACCCAGCACCTGTATGGTGAATCCATGGAACGCTTAGAAATAGTTTAAAGCGGATTACAAAGATGTAACGGCCTATAGATCCCAAATATCTAAGATTATACTTATTCATGTATGTTATTGCCAACTAAGAATACTTATAATAGTTTAGGCAGTGAATTGTATTACAGTAATGGGAATATATTATGACATGATTCCTTAATCGATTTCTGCACGATATACGGTTTGCAATTCTATGTAATTTAATTATGCAATTACATTTAAGATTGAATACAATAATAATAATTACTTCACACATCTCACATACATCAGTCTGATTCTAAACTAAAGAAAGCCTATGAGAGCCAGAGGGCCAGACTGCTGATAAACACACTGAAATATTTCTAAATACAAACATATTATAGAAAAATAAAAGCCTGATTTAGAACAAATGATCGTATGTATGACACAAAATTTGTTCTGGGTGGGACTCTAACTTACAACCTCAGGCATAGTAGTCGGAATCACTAACTGCTATACCAACAGGCCAGTCCAATTTCTTTTAAGTATGCTTTAAAAATCAAACAAATAAGATTACGAATATTGGTATCAAAATCATTTATTGCAAAAAACACCATTATCGATAATATACAAAGAAATTTCTTAGAGTAAAGAACTACATTTTAATTATACCTGAATACTATTTATCAGTTTATTTACACAATATTAATTAGTGTACTCGTAAGATAATTACATTTGGGGTCCTTAATTACTCAGCTTACCAATCGAATTTCTGAACGTCATGACGGCAAGACGGTCAATAGTTTAATACTTTAGCCTAATAAATATAAAATGGCGATTCGACAAGTAAGCCATTGTGAAAAAAATAAGAAATCGATTTCAGAACGATGAACGACAAACTAATATTAAATGTATCACATTTATAATACAATCGATGCATAGACGGATAGAATCGATACTGCATTAAAATCTAGTTTAATACTTCAATTTTGGCGACCGAATGGCGTAGTGGTTTGTGTAACGGACTGCTATTCCAAAGGTCGCGGGTTCGATTCCCGCTCAAGTCAAACATTTGTGTGCATGCACATTTAATGTTTGATTTGGTCTGGGTGTTTCTATGTATAATAAGTATGTATTTACAAAAAAAAAGTATATATGTATTTATATCAGTTATCTAGTACCCATAGTACAAGCTCTGCTTAGTTTGGGACTAGATGGCGTTGTGTGAATGTTCTACAATATTATTATTATATTATTATATTAATTGTTAGGAACAATTGAAGCATTAAACTTGATTTTCATTTAAACTAGATTTTTATAGTATTACCTTATTTCAATTCCACCACAGAATTAATTATTTAATTCCAACAACCACAGAATCGGCATTATATTGTATAATCCAGCAGTCGGTTTGGATGGATCTTCTCTTTGTGCAGAAGATCACCGTTTCTTTTCTACATCCATATTACTAAAATTAGCCAAGTGCCTCTTAGACTATACTCGTCTTAGAGCAGTTAGGTCACCTGATGGTAAGTGACTACCTTCACCTATGGACACCTTCAACTAACAAGTCACAAATGAGTTGCTACCTTTTTTCTTCTTCTTGAAGGGGATACTTTTGAGGATTTTAATACGTGAAGAAAAGCATGTGTACACATTAAAAAAAAACGGCTTAACCTTAAAGTTAATCCAACTAACAGCCATTTATAGCGACGCACGCGCTCATTGGTAAAATCAAAACTCGTGCGCTTGCCTGGATTCCTAGTACGCCTAATAAGCGTAATAGGAATTCAGGATCTCCCACATATTGCAGGAAAGGAAGGAAGTATACTTGATGCTTATGTATAGAAAAAGTACAGAAAACTAACATTTCAAAACAATATGTGTTTTTACCAAGTCATGTACTCACAGATGCCAACGTCCAGTATATATTGGCCTATTAGGTACCAAAAAAGTACAGAATGACAGTTCAAGTTGTATGTATGTCTTGTCCAAGGAAATAAACCAAAAAAAAAATTAAGGTTGAAATTCGATCGCGCGGCGGTCTAAATTTGTTATACAAAAAACATTACAATCACCAGTTGGTATCTGTTATAATATAACCTTTAAGTAATGTACTTCACTAGATATGTGTTGAAACCGTCGACACAGATACATTAGATATTCCAGGTTTCACGTGATTGGCGTTAACGTCTTCTGTCTCTTTCGGTCTCCGATTTGGTCCAAGAAGAAGTTTTTGGAGCTGACAAGCTGGAGCTTCAACGAAGAGATGCAGAGGGAGAGCTAAGAGATATGTTGTGCTTACAATACCCGCGTATAACATTATCTGGAAAATAAAATAATTAAATATGTAGATACAGTGTCGCACTACAAAACAATAAAAAACAATTTATGGGCCAACTTAATTATATTCTGTGTGAGCAAATCAATCGTTTATAGCGATAAAATAGCTAACACACAAAGCACCGTAAGACACTATTATTTTTGATGCTTTTATAGTATTGACAGTCTATCTGAACTCTGGTTTTAAGTGTTAAACATATCTTTTCAATAAATTGGTTATGAATGCTTGGCTATATACGTCAATAAGCGTACCATTTTAATTTTAAGAAAATATTCATCATCTAAGAATGGATACATTAATTATAGGTTAAGAGAGCTACCTCCAAAACTTCAGGTCCAATTTCCTCTTCTCCTTTCTCTCTGATCTTTTCCTCTCCTAAACTCATTAAAATCACGTCTTATAATATACTTACAGCAGTATAATCGGTTGCGTAGAACGACCTCCTCAATTGACCGCCATAAGTTCTTAGTACTGTTGCGTGAAGTAACATCGCACAGTACGACATTCTGCCTAAAGGCTGTAGTGGTCCCCACTCGACTGAACCTACGTATATACCTAGGAAAAAAAACCTAAATTAATGGTTAAGCATTGATTGAAGTATATAATTGTACAAAAGTCTGAGGCATCATATCTCTTGAAAGGATGAGATAATTTAAATTTAGTCACTTAATAAGGTCCTCTTAGCTATAAGTCAAGAATTTCTGAATTTATTTTCAGCTGTTTCAAGATGATTGACTCTATTTTAATCGTGAAGGAGGTTCTTAATCTTGAATAGTTTAATTTTATTACTAGTTCCTAAATTTTCTTTCATGTTAGAGGGGCAGACGAGCAGACGGGTCACCTGATGGAAAGTGACCATCGCCGCTTATGAACGTCTCATCAACTCAGTAGTCACAACCAACGGAAATACCGTAGACGATAACCCGTTCCACAGATTGGTTGTGCGGGGCAAAAAGTGTCTCCAAAAGCGCACAGTAGTGGAGCGCCAACTATTCAGGTGATGAGGATAAACCGTGTAAAATTTTCAACCTCATAACGATGGCGGAAAGTTGCGGCTGGTATTAGTATTTGCGACGTAAATTGAATGGAATGGTGATGTAAATAGAATGGATGGTCATATTCAAAATGAACAATAACACATACATGCGTTTTCTTGAATAGTTAAACATTCTAAATAAAATTATATCTACTCCAAATTAATTACCTAATCGTAATAGTGTCTGCCAGAACGCTCAGAGAATTATTTTCTAGGCTTAAGCCATAAATAGTCAAGTAGCTAAATAATGCATAGTTTAAATCATTCAGAATCCGATTAAATGAAAACGTTATCCTACATGAGGTGATGATATATACTAGTTCGTCCAAAACAGAGAAATATACTCACGATTGCATCTGTAGAAGTATCCAATAATGAAGACACAAATAGCCAGAGCAAAGAAGTTTTGATTGAGAGCGTTGAAGATTGCAGATTCGAAGGCAGAAGCCTCCCGATGGTGGAGATCCCAACCCATAAGAACGGTACCAAAAGCAATGGGGATTGAGGATAAGAAGAGGAGTTTCATAACCTAGAAATGAAATAAGTGATAATGTTTCATTTCAAAATATAACTTGAATAATTTGGTTTAACGTAAGTACTGCAATATTTTGGTAGAATTTGAATAAGACGTTTCATAAAAACGTCAATTTTGCAAAAACTTCCTTATATCTTGGGGCTCTATAATACTGACCTCAGCTGCAGAGATGGCAGAATTCTAGCTAAGGTTTGACCTTTAACTGTGCATTTGTGGGGTTAAGAAATCAGAGATTAACTTTTATACATTTAAATAGCAATAAAAATTAAATAATCTCCTGGGACATATTGCACATCACTAAGCAGCAAGTGTAGTATGGGTTCTAGATAACAATAATTCCCAGCACGTCGCGTCGGTCGAATGCACTATCGCCTATGCCAGAGAGATTTTTTATGTTTTTTTTGGAAACCTGTTCTTAGACATCAACAGCTATGGATCTTGATGTCCATGGCTTGTATTGTACGTGCAAGTTTTGGAAGCCTACCATCCACTAAGGGTCATCGAGGTGAACTATGCTCTAAAACCCTATACTTCTGATAGGAGCCTGGTGACCAACTATGGAACAACCTGTCAATAGCCCTGATATCGAAGTTAATGAAAAATAATACAACTTACAATAGAATCACTTAAATTCCATTTCTGAGTTTGAGCTCTGTGGTAGAAGTAGGCAGTCAATACTCCTAAGTGATAACCAGCCCAGTTGCCTTGTGCCGAAATGTAAGCATGGTAGAAAGTATCGTTGTATCCGAAAATATCTCTTATTGACCTGGAAATAATGTTTAAGATTACTTAACCTTGTTCGAAGAAATCACTACAGCCCTATATTCTAGTTTAGAAGTCATTGGATTAATTAATATTTCTAACATACTAGTAATATTATAAATGCAAAAGTATGTCTGTCTGTTTGTCTGTAACCTCTTCACGCTTAAATCGCTGAACCGATTAAGATAAAATTTGGTATGAAGATACTTTGCTTCTTGAGGAAAGACATAGGCTACTTTTTACTGCGATAACCTTCATTTCGCGGGTGATTAAGGGTGGTAATCGTTTTTAAATAAGACAAAAAAGAAGTTAAATTGAGGTACGCAACTTGAACAGAGAGAGGGAGCAAGTAAGAGATATTGAAAGTCTCAAGTGGTAAACGGGACTAATTCTGCATGGAAAGACTAGAGTCGCGTAGGAAGCACCACCAGTTTCATTTTTATCTCCCGCTTTGCTAAGGAGGGAAGTAGCTTTATTACATTTGGGTGTTTCTATGTATAATATTATTTCCCGGGGGTACTCCAGTGTAGTAACTTGTTAGTGGGTCACTGCGTGTGTACAAGAGTTACAGTAGTAAGCGTGTGGAAGGGATTGGTCCCATTAAAAAAAGTCCCTTTCTTTCTTTTCTTAAAAAAAAGTTGGTTGGAATTAAAAAGTAGATAGATGCTTAAAAGTAGCTCATGATTTGCTTAACTTACTCTGGAAATAAGCTGACTCTGATAGGTAAAAGATTCATCAAGTAACTCTGCAGGAACGGTATGAGAAGACTGATGACCATCACTACTGATAGAACAGGAATCCCACTCTTTGGCCAGCGCCAGATGATGAGTAAGACCACAAGAGTTATCATAAAAAGTTGAGTGTCTGTTCCAAGGTACCTGAAAGATAAATAAATTGCTCATGATTATTGCTACATCTGCATCTTAAACATCAAATTTATTTTCAGAAATATATCATGCTTTCTAACAAATGTTGGTCCTCAAATTAGAGAGTACTAATAACACTTTCTGTGTAGTGACGGATTAAGATTACAGAGTGTCACCACCCCTGTTCATCCCATGGGTGTCGTAAGAGCAGACTAAGATAGTGAACCACGCAGTACAACAGTACTACAAAGAAAAGGAAAACTTGAAACAAATCCTATACTAACCCGTCTGGCCAGCGTGGTATAGTAGGCCACAGCCAAGGAGAGGCCTATATCCGGCAGTGTACTATTAGAGGCTATTGATGATTCACACTAGGACTACTACGCCACTTAAACAAGGACAATGACATTGCTAAATGAACTTGATTTATGTTAAAACTTAATTCACAACGTAACGTTCAATTAACTCTTTTTCTTATTACTTTACGCCACCAAAGTGGTAAATAAGTATTGGTTAGATACAACTAGTTTAAAAAAAGTTAAATATTACATAGTGATGTAACCAGCGGAAGAGAATGTTGGCCTACTTGGTTTATACCTATTCATTTGTATTTGAGAGTCTTGCTTTTATTTGACTAGACACTAGGGTTATGTTATAACTGTTCTAGTTGTCGCCCGCTGCTCTTTTCATTTTTATTTTATCTGTCCCATGGTAACAGAAACTTTTTCCTACTGAAAGGTACGCTATTATCTTTTCTGTTTCTCTGAACACGTACGTGAAAAAATTTATGGTGTTTGGTTCATTAGTTAATATTTAAAAGCGCAACAAATATACAATCAAATCAAATCAATTATTTACTTAGAGTACTTTTTATTTTTAAAGATAACTCCCTCATTCGGCATATATCCCGTCTCGCGGGGACTTTACAAACATACATGAAACGAACACAAAGAACATCCAAACTCAGAAGAACAATTTGTGGATCACACAAAGTGTAGTCCTATGTGGTGTATCGGACCCACAACACTCGTAGTAGTAAACGGCGCGACGTGGCGACCGCTTAAACCACTACACCATCCGTGTAGTCAAAATATACAGAATATACAGAACATATATAATAATATGTATGTTCTGTATCAGATTCAGTATGTAAATACATTTAATTATATTTCAGATAACGAATAGTGTCTCGTTGGGTCCTAGAGAGCCTGGGTTCTGTAAGTGTTCCTCAGAAAGGAAATAACTGCTTTAAATTTATTGTCTGATTACCTGTGTGAAAGATGATTAATAAATTCATTTCATCAATTAATTGATTTATAAAATACCAATATTCATTAGCAATCCTCTTAGCTGTATTTTATGGCGTTCGAATATGAACTTTTAAGTTCGATTATTCGGTTGGACATTAAATGTCCAACCGAATAATCGAAACCATGATTTTTGTGCATTGGGAAACATGCCCAGAGGAACCAATATACTTATCCTTGTTTTAGTTGTAATAATGTGTACCTCTGCCTACCCTTTGTGTTTGGAGCCGTGAGTGCACAGGACTGTTAATATAATTATTTTTAGGCTGTAGAAGGTTCTGGTTTGGTCGTGAGCATGTCAGGGCCAAACATCATTACATTACACTGCTTTAAGCAAACTAAGACCAAGATACCATCTTACTACAAATTTCTCAAGACCAATTATGTTGACAACTAAAGCAAAGGCATGACAATATTGTGACAACTGTAATTCATAAAATAACCTTAAGAATTTCACAATAAGACTGATTTTAAATTAAACAGCGCACGTGATGTGTGTTCTTAAATGTTTGCTTGCAATTTCGTATGAAAATTCAATTAGGCAATGCTTGTGGGTCACGACTTTCGATGAAAAACACAAAAAGCCGTTTGTTACGTAATTAAATGTAGGCTAACAAATTATTTTAGGTAATGCTTGCTGCACTCTTGGTCTTAATTTACGCAACAAACATTTGGAATTTTTCTTAACACTTCTTATATCTATAACTTATGTTTAGGCTCTTCATCCACTTGAATAAATTGTGGCACACATTTTCGATCTACTCTAAAACTTCGATGGCATAGAATATTTGGTAAGTTACAGAACAGTATGTTACATTGATCATTATAATAAAATGAGCTTAAAATTTAATCATTTTTTGTACACATCAAAACATGTTGTACGGATTAAGAATACAAAATGTCACCACCCCTCTTCATCCCATGGGTGTCGTAAGAGTTGACTGAGGGAGCAAACTACGCAGGACAACAACACTGCAAAGAGAAGGAAAACTTGAAACAAGCCCTATATCAACCCGTCTGGGCAGCGTGGTTTAGTAGGCCAAAACTTCCTTTCTAAGTTGAGTCCTATGTCCAGCAGTGGACTAGTAAAGGCTGTTGATGATGATCAAGATAATGTCAAACTAAGTTAAAATTTGCTAGTAGGAATCTAATAAATATACTTCTTATTCACGAAACTGTAGTTTGTCCCAAGACACAAACACCAAAAAGTAAATTAGTAATAATAACTTTAAAATTGTTTACCTACAAAAAAAACTGTTTTGATAGATTAACAAAGATTTAAAGTATATACGGAAGGCCTATGATGCTGATAACTCTCGATTTAATCCTGATTTCCGTCATTTATACTTATAAAAAGGTTGGAATGGCTTGTGTAAGATTAAAAAACGTTTAGAGTTCTGCACCGATTGATCTCACATTATATGTGCAGTATTCACACGATGTGCAGCCCGCTTCAACCATAGTTTTTACCTATTTTTCGCTTTAGTTGTTTTCCATATTCCGAATCAATTCAACTACATTGTGCCGTAGCGAAGAATGGCAGGGCACAGCTAGTTATTTCTTTACATTTCCTCATTAAAGCAAGTGAAACCTTGGCTGAATTCATTTTAATGAAGATATTTGCCAATAAATTTAGACATCCTTTGAAAATAATGCTTTTTCTGGATCAATGGCATCTTATTTCCATACATCAGACATAGCGGATGCAAAATTCCATGATAAACAGTTGAGTAAAGGGTCTACCAATAGGAATGACCTGGTTTTGACAGCAGACTTTTCATAAAAAAATGTGTGTTTTATTCAATTTTTAAACCAGGACGTTCTTTTTGGTAGACCCCATAGTTTAAGCATAAAAGCAAAAAACTCACATTCGTATTTATAATGTTAACTTAGTATACGCGTTCCAGTTGATCGCAATCTGCAACCGATAATTTCACGGCTACTGCTAATATTACGACATTAGCTTTACGCGTCTCTGGTCAACCTAAGTGGGTTCCTTTTGAAATTAATGCGCAAGCCCAGTACACTTGATACAGGATATTATGGATTCTTTGTCGGACATTAATCTTTTGCAAGCATTCAGTGAATAATGATAACGTGTACTAAGTATGTAATTGCATTAAATTGGCCATAATTACCATCCGTATGTACCAATGTACCTATGTATTAATGTGTGAGTGTTGAGGAATTCTGCAGCTGAATAGCTATTACGTTACAGATTTTTATCACAATCAGTTACATTTTTTCATTAATAGCTTGACAGACTTGGTAGTTCTTTATGATACAAAGCTGGTCAAAGATTATAATATCACAAAACAGAAAACTAAAAAATCGATACTAGACATTTCTACAAAAGCGCATAAAGTTGTGTAAATAAATACAGAATAAAAGAAACGGAACACTCACCAAGCTTGAGGTAAACATAAATGCTCGAAGGGAAAAAGATTCGGCATCAGAATCACCAGCTGCCACCAATTCATCCTACACATGTCCCGTTCTCTTTTTACTACGGCGTCCCACATAGGTCCGGAGCCAAGGTGAGGTACCCACGTCATGGCTAGACCCATCACTACCAAAACTGCTGGCATCAGTCTGAAACAATAATTTGCTAACTTTTGTAAAATGTAACAATTAACATGTAATAACAAGCTGTTGTCTTAGTTTCTTCTTTTCGTTAGTATAAGTGTAAAAATATACGACCGAATACGGTGTTTAACTCTATGGTGCAACTGGGTATGTTAATAGCAGAAAGTAAGAGTGTTCATAGGCTATGGATAAAGTTAAACGCATATCGTTACTAAGGATGAGTTTTATTACATTCGATTATTTGCGATATGAATCTACATAATTACTTAAGTTAGTGATAACTTAAGTAATTTAATACCTTAGCAGAGAATTTTGCAAAAATACAATTTTTGTTTTAGAAACGTGTAAGTCCTACATTGAATACTGATGAGACCTATGTTGGGGAATATTCATATTACATCAAGTTGGGGCAGATCCGGAGCCTAGATGAAAATCGGTCAAGTTCCAGTAAAACATAAAATAATAATAGAAATACTTCTTTACGAAGTAGTTTATATTATGTTGAGTGTAAAAGACCCACTATTGGAGCATAGACGCGCACGGCCAGGGGATGCCGTCATTTTTTTGGTCTTAGGTCCAATCTGTATTTTGTCGAAACGAGGTGGACTATCTGCCGACCCCATTACAGGGCAATCGCATGAGTCGTTGTTTATTTTAAATCTGAGATGATAATAAAAATGCCCATCAATCCTATCCTACGAGCTCGTGTTCCCAAAACTAGAAATCATGAAGCATGGTTCTTCAAATGACCCATATTTATGAGCCTTAAAAGTATTACACAGTATATCACTAAGAACAAAGTAAATTGTACCAAAAAAATCTAGCCCATTCTACGTAATTCCAACGCACATAATTCCTTATACAACCTCACATGAACCTTTATCAAAACTGGACACTTGTCTGTTTATGGCAAATAATTTTCCAGGCGGTTTTAGATCTTAGAAAACCTTACAGCTCCTTCAACGTGTATGCAAGATGGAGATTTAAAAACTAACTGCTTATCTTTCACCTTAAGTAAGATTCTTAGGTTCAAGGAGAGGCTTATGTCCAGCAGTGGACTATTAAAGGCTGTTGATGTGATGTGAAGGTTCTTAAATTGTTGCTCATTATCAGTCATCCGTATGTCCCGATGTTGTTCGGTATACAGCGGTCTAACTGTCTATCGGCTATTATAAACACACTACTGCTTTATTCATTTACTTAATAAATCTACCATAGCATGCAACTGTTTAGGTCTTTTAGTTAAGCAAATTTTTGAACTTGAACTTTTTTTTAAATAAATCTCACACACGGAAGTCTGATCCCAAACTAGGTAGAGCCTGTACTATGGTAACCAGATTGCTGATAACCATACTTATATATTTTTAAATACATACATGTGGGAATGATGTTATTAATCGATTGTTTTGGTTTATTTTGTCTGTGATTTGGTAGCAACACTAAGATAGATCAAAGAGTAGAGAGAGATTTATGTCATGTGTATGACGTGTGTTGATTTGTGAAAGAAAAATACAGAATAATAGTTAAAACAGACTTTCTTTGGGTAAATATTCCTACAAAATATGGGGGCTCGTCCGGGATACCGAAGAAATATGAAGTTTTAACTATTCGTGAAGACTGAGAAGATTTCAAAATTTTTAATGAGTGAGGAAATCTTCGAGAGAAGACGCCATTACAGTACAGGTACCTACTGTTTTACCGACAGAGCTAAACAAGGATTGAAAAGACGTCATTGTCGTACTACAACTACTGTTTTACCGACGGAGTTACAGACGAACTTCACACCTGTCGTAATAGGGTTGTCATATGAAGAACGAATTGCCCATAAAGTTACGAATGAATCGATTTTCATATCGATCAAAGAAGTAAGATGTAAACTGAAGAAGTTATGTTATGATTTGATATTTTGAAGACTGTTACTTTATATGAAGACGTTCCTATTCTTGGACCAGAGAATATTTTAAAGACTATCTTAAAGACTGAAGATTTATTTTAAAGAAGATGCCGCCAAAGAAAGAAAAGGAAGAGACTACACCTGAACTCTCGTTCAGCGACGTGGAGAAGTCTATGTCTGCTTTTAGTGGAGACAACAATTACTCAATTGAAACCTTTATTAATGATTTTGACGATATCGCCAAGCTGATGGAATGGGGTGAGATACAAAAATTAATCTACGCCAAGCGCTTGCTGACTGGAACTGCAAAGCTTTTTCTAAGAACACTAAGTAGTCCAAAAACATGGCTGGAACTAAAGACTGCATTAAAAGAAGAATTCGGTTCAAAATTGAATAGTGCTGCCATCCACAAAAAATTAGCTACACGTAAAATGAGAAATGATGAGACTTACCAACAGTACTTTCTAAATATGAAAGAATTGGCGTTGCTTGGTAAAATTGAAGACGAAGCGTTGATTGAATACATGATCGACGGGATACGTGATGCAGAATGCAATAAAGCTATTTTGTATGGAGCTGAAAATATAAAAGATTTCCGGAAGAAGCTGGATCTGTACGCTCAAATGAGAAAGAAGATTACAACTACGAGGTATGATAATAACACGAAACAACCGTATCAGAGTACTTCACAGGCGAATAAAAAACATGTAATGAAAACAAGATGCTACAATTGTGGTGAAACAGACCACCAAGCACCGAGATGTACGAAGGGCATTAAGTGTTTTAAATGCAACAATTACGGGCATAAATCAAACGAGTGCCCAACCACCAAAAAGAAGACTATGAAAATTCAAACGAAGGATAACGAACATTGCAAGTCACCTTATAAGAAGTTGACAATAAATGGGGTTGAATCCAAGGTCCTAATTGATACAGGAAGCGATGTGAGTTTGGTCAAAGAATGCCAGTTCAACAAGGTTAATGGAAAGAGGTACAACTATAATCCGCATGCTGTATTGTGCCTAACAGGAATAGCCGAGCACGAAATACGTACTAAAGGCTCTTTTATGGCGAAAATTAAGATGGATGATTGTTATTTTGACACTACCTTCCATATAGTTAATGATAATGACATACCAGTAGATATCATTATTGGAAATCGGATATTGGAGGAAGTCGACGTTCACTTTTCTGCTGATGGGATAACAGCTAAGAGGGTTTTGCACTTAACAACTTTAGAAGATGACGATGAAACCTATAATATTGGTAAACAAGAATTTAAGAGTATTATCGAAACAATGATTAAAGACTATAATCCCCAGAATGTTACAAGAAAATCTAATGTGCAACTAAAAATTATTTTATCCGATGATTCCCCGATATATCAAAACCCACGACGTTTATCACCTCTCGAGCTGGATGTTGTCAACAAACAAATTAAAGAATGGGAAGAACAAGGCATTATAAAACCAAGCTAATCAGATTTCGCAAGGCCGATTGTCTTGACTAAGAAAAAAAATGAAAAGTACAGATTGTGTGTTGATTACAGAAGACTTAACAAGAAGACTATTAAAGAAAGATTCTCACTGCCTTTGATAGAAGATCAGATAGATCATCTAAAACACGTAGATGCGTTGAGTAGACATCCTGTAAAAAACGTAGTGTTACTCACTGACACCATTGCACGACTGAAGAAAGCACAAGATGAAGACCTGAAAATAAAATTAATAAAAAAGGTTTTAGAAAAAGAAGCATACGAAGACTTTATTGTAGAAAGTGGAGTTTTATTAAAAATAAAAGAAGGAAGAAAATTACTGGTGTTGCCAAAAAAGATGCAAAATGAAATAATCAGAAAATATCATGAAAAAGGTCATTTCGGAGTTATTAAAACAGAAGAACTTATAGAAAGAGAATATTATGCTGAGAATTTAAAAGAAAAGATAAAGTGTGTAATAGAAAACTGTGTCAAATGCATACTAGTATCTCATAAAAAAGGAAAGAAAGAAGGATTTCTAAACTGTATTGATAAAGGAGATAGACCTTTGTCTACTTACCATATCGACCACTTAGGACCGTTGACGTCCACTAACAAGCATTACAAGTATTTGTTTACTGTCGTAGATGGCTTTACAAAGTTCACATGGATTTATCCAACAAAGAGTCTGTCTACCGAAGAAGTGTTAGACAAATTAAAGCTGCAACAGAAAACTTTCGGATCACCAGAAAGAATAATTAGTGACCGAAATGCCTCATTTACCTCTAATGCATTTAAAGAATATTGTGATACAGAAGGGATTGCTCATCACACAATCACTACTGGGCAACCTAGAGGTAACGGACAAGTAGAGAGAGTGCACCAAACCATAATCAACGTATTAAGTAAAATGAGCTCTGAAGATCCTACGAAGTGGTATAAGCATGTAAACGAAGTTCAAAGATGCCTTAACAACACATACCAACGGAGTGTAAAGACTACACCTTTCGAACTCTTGACTGGAACAAAGATGAGAGATAGAAATGACGAGATTCTAAAGCTGATAGAAGAAGAAAATATAGAGAATTTTAATGAACAAAGAGAAGAGTTACGCAAGAAAGCTAAAGAAAATATTCAGAGTATTCAAGAAGAGAATAGAAAAGGCTATAATCGAAAACGTAAAGAAGCAAGAGATTACCAAGTTGGAGATCTTGTGGCCATCAAAAGAACACAGTTCGTTCAAGGCTATAAACTGTATCCCAGATATCTCGGCCCATACGAAATTGTGAAGAAAAAAAGAAACGATCGATATGATCTGAAGAAAATTGGTTCAGGCGAGGGACCGATAAACACATCTAGTTCCGCCGATATGATGAAGCCATGGAGTTCATGTGATAATTCTACCGACTCATCTGAGGCAGATGAGTAGCAGGATAGCCGTGTGGGAATGATGTTATTAATCGATTGTTTTGGTTTATTTTGTCTGTGATTTGGTAGCAACACTAAGATAGATCAAAGAGTAGAGAGAGATTTATGTCATGTGTATGACGTGTGTTGATTTGTGAAAGAAAAATACAGAATAATAGTTAAAACGGACTTTCTTTGGGTAAATATTCCTACATACATATTATAGATAAATTCTTATTAGATACATATTATAGACAGAACAAATGACCGTGGCTCATCACACAATATTTGTTCTGGGTGGGAATCGAACCCACGACCTCTTATTTAAAAGTCAGGGTCACTAACCACTAGACCAACAGTCCCGTCTTGTAATACAGTTTATATGTAGTTTTGTACTTGTATTGTACATGACGTCCACTACTGAACTTTTTTAGGCAACTAAGAGCGGCCAATATGACAAGATTCCCAATGTTATTTTAAAAAGATTAAATAACTATGAAACCTACGGATTCAAGGTATAATCGTAACTACGTAGAAACCTGCAATAAACATTGGCTGAATTTAAATAAAAAACTTCTTTTTTTTTAATAAACCCCTTTAAATGATAATTGATTATGATAAATTACACCATTGATTCTCAGTTTTAAAATCCCAACTTTAATAACAATGAAGGATAAGCCTCAATGGTCGAGACAGAGAAAATAAGCCAAACTTCTACATTATTATAATATATGTATATAATTCTAAAACAAAATTCAAAAAAAAAACCGCCAATACATACCTGAACCACCTATTAACAATAGCCATGGGAACAGTCTTCAGTGTAAATGGATGTGACTCAGCATACACCAGCATCTTGTAAGCCATGAGGAACCCTCCCATTACGAAGAAAATTTGCACTATGATGCGAGAATTGAAGAGAAGAGCTTTGAAGAAGTCATCGTAGGACTGCAACAAAATATTTTTGTAATTTAATTCTAATATTGGTATGTATTTCACTACTGCTTATTTTTTATTTTTAAATCATTCTAAATGTGGTTGGTATGACTTTTGTCTCCACCTCCGCCTTTTGTTGTCCAACCTTGACTAATAACAGTGCATTTCGGCCAAAGACCATAAACCATAATTTTGGGTAACCAAAGTTTATGGTCTTTGGTTGTACCTTTATCGAAATTATATTATATGTTAGGTTTCTGAGGTCATTTCATTAGGAGTTTAGCTATTTTTAACGCTATTAGTTCGATAACTTATCAAAATGTTTCTGAACATCGCAACAAGAAAAAAAACTATGCCTAATGTAGTTAGACTTATGGTTAAACCTAAATTCTCTATACTTTGCGCTGCCGTTTTTACATCATTTTCCTAGTGCCAATCACCGTTCGAGATTATTGGTATTTATAAAATTTTACGTACGTAATAAATAATATGTTTATGATACCTAAACACATCATACATTATAGATAGATTTGCCATTTAATACTTAAGAAATATTGCAGTACTTAGACATAATCACAATCGATTACGAAAATTGTACTTTACTGTTTCGTAATCGCCCATCTAATATGAGCACTTTCAAATGTCTCGAAGTGCATATCTATACCAATCTACATTATAAATGTGTAAAGAAAAATCCTTATACACATTTTTAAGACAACACAAAGACAACAAAATTTTGAACACTTGAAGTTTATATGCAGAATGCGTCCGACTATCGGGAAAAAAAATTTTGACAGGTCCGACATAACCAGATGTGCACAAGAACGTCAAAAAAGAGATAAAGCGATCACCGTAGTCGATACTAGTCGAAAATTACCATCATCATATCTAGAAGTTAGAGCACAAGAAGTTAACAATATTAAGCCAGAGTTCTAAAGGTCAAGATCACAGGATCACAGATTACAAGATCTAATAAATTAGACCTGTCATTTCACTACAAAAATCTACAAATTTGGGTGAAGCTATAATGGTCTAAGAAATGAAATAAGGCATTAAAAACGGCTTAACTTAGATTGCCAAGCGATGTCTAGTAGCTATTTGAGTTTATATATTATGTTTTTGGTAAACCTCGCTAAAATTGCAACAGTAAAAAAAATGCAACTTAAAATCACCACATTTTCATTCATTCATTTATAATTTAATCTTACGGTTTTCTATTACATAATCATTTCTAAGGAAGCATTATTTCTAGTTAAGTACTGACCATATTTACTAATAAAATATTCAAACATGTATTGCACCTGAACGAGCCGGTTGTGCAGCAGTTCATTGACTTGTCTAGGTCAAGACTTTGTGGTTATCTTGCGCAAGAGTGGATTTGCGTACAACTTGTCAACCTATACTGATCTTAAAGAAACAAAATCTATTTTCTTAAAACCTACTTCAACATATTATTACGTGGAAGTTGTCTTAGCTCCTTTTTTTAAACGAATTTCGCGAACAAAAGAATGCGAAAGTTAAATTACTTAAAGTTTATTTATCGAAGAAGTGTTAGGAGGTAAGATTTTTAAACAATATGTGTTATAAGACTGCAAATAGCTATCAGAATCATAATATATGTTGTTTGAATATATACAATTACAGTTTAAGGTCTATAAAATAATACTTAAATAGATATATAGACGATAAAAAAATATTTTGACACCATTCCACCATTTTATTTGGACACCATTCTTGCAAGAGCCGTATCACATATATAAAAATGTCAGATATGTAATGTACAAAGGGTAGCCTTCTTGTTCAGTGCAATCTTAGAATGAATCAAAGTGAAACTTAAAATTGAATCATTTTTACTTTGTTTAGCAACTGATTTTGTTGTTTTTTTGTTTTTCTCTAACAGAGCAATGGATTGTATAAACAATTAATTGAATTACATTCAAATGTCAATCTCTGTTGACAACTAGTATCAGTAAATTATGAAACGGACACATTGCGGAGAAAGGTGTTACTGCTGCCCGGCTTTTTTAGTCTCGGAATACTAGTGACGTCACATTTGTTACGAAAAATGAAACAATTGAATGTTTTTTTTTTTAAACTACCGCCGTACTTGGATAACTGCACATAAAGAGACAAAACTGTGTTGCTCTCCTATGTGTGTTCTTAACATCTCGGAAATAAAGGTTGGAATTCCAGTAAACTCATTCACATAGCGAAAAGCAAGAAAAAAAAAAACAGTGGCACTCCGGGAGCGCCGACAGAATTAAAAACTTATATACAGAGGTGTCGGTAACGGTAACAGTGTCGCAAGTTTAATTGTTTTTTCCCATCTCAAAAAATCACGGGTTCAATGGTTTTTAACAACAGATTTCTTTTGTTTGTTGTTCAAAAATGCCCAACGCGCCTAAAGGAGATTTTACTTAAAACATTGATCAACCCTGGTTTTCTGGGCGTAGCATCACTTCAAGCAAACGAGCAGACAGGTCGCCTGATGATAACACTTTAAAGGTCCCTCTCAGATCTAGAGGGGGAAGAGGTTTGGACCTTCAGTAACCACTCACTTGGTGAAAACCAAGAATATAACTGCTTAACACCGATTTTCCTATGTGGTATCACTTCGGTCGAGCCTGCCCATTTACTATATGCCGAAGCATGTTTCTGCCATGCCATGTTTTATTTATTCATTTCATCGGTTGCCAATTGTCATTTGCAGGTGTTCACGAGTGGTGATAGGTATATATCACCAGATAATCGGTCCGCTTGTTTGAAACCTATATCATAAAGAAAATGATGAAAGTGTGAATAGGACGGTTTCTGTTAATAATATTTACGGTTCTGCTGTTAATATCTACTATGTTAGGGGTTGTGAGTTCAATGTGACCACTCGTTCTATATTTTGAGAGTAATTTATCTATAGCATCTTATTATATGAATGATATATTCTTAATTCAGTTAAGGTATATACGCTTAACACGCACTTCATAAAGAACTTCAAACAGGACAGGAGCAAAGGAAAAGGTTTCAAACGACCGTAACATTTAAAGTAATATCATCAGATTAATCATTTATAACGTTGCATGATTCTGCTCTCATTTTCAAATCATTTGTTTTATACGAATACTGTTCAAATTGTAATTATTTACCCATTAATTAAACTATCGGATTCAAATCGTTTCAGTTAAATGTAATTTATTGCATGTTGTCAAATTGGCTGAATGTGGTTTAAATTAAATGCTCTTTCAACTGTGCAACGAATTGCCTGCTAATATACCTAATCTACTTTTGGAGTATTACCAAAATAATTTAATACAGAAAAAAATGTGCCTAAATCCGTAAATTGCTCAATATTTTCTCTTCTGTATAAGTTGTCTGATAAATAAATAAATAATAATAATATTGTACCACATCCACACAACGCCATCTAGTCCCAAACTAAGCAGAGCTTGTACTATGGGTACTAGACAACTGATATAAATACATATATACTTTTTCTTTGTAAACACATACATATTATACATAGAAACACCCAGACCAAATCAAACATTAAATGTTCATGCACACAAATGTTTGTCTTGAGCGGGAATAGAACCCGCGACCTTTGGAATAGCAGTCCGTTACACGAACCACTACGCCATCCGGTCGTCAATAAAATCAATAAGTAAGTAGTAAATCTTTTATTAAAGATACGTTATATTCTGGTATTATTTTATTATGTATATAGAAAGAGGAAACTGAGTTATTTAATAAGACAAGGCACACGTACATATTTGGAAAATAACACAAAATAACCATTACACTTATTACGTGTAAAACACTAGAAGGTATACCTACGACATATAAACTTAACTTCAGGTGACAGTATAATCTGTTATATGCCAGTTTCTTTTTTTATGAAAAAAGTCGTGAGCTAAAAGTAATCTTCTGCTATATCCACAGATTATGTATGTTAACATAGTGACGTAAACTATGTTGAAGGAATTTAGAAAGCTTTTGACAGTTGCGATCATCCCTTAATAGCATGTCAGAATCGAAACTGTAAAATCTATACGCTGTGAAAGTGTGAGGTCAATCAACACAGTTTCTATTATATAGTAAAATGTAATAAGATATAAACGACCGCTCATAAGATTTAACCGAATTTTACCGATTGCCTGAACTAAACAGGCGTAGAGCATTGTAAATCTTTTCACGATTAAATTTGTACCGATAAGAAAATTCAAGAGAAATGAATTAGATTGCTTACCTGTTCAATGAATTCTGGGTTGGCGGTATATCCATATCCGACGAAAATCATAGAGTGAAGACCGAGAATCATCACCATAGTATAGAATCTGGAACAAAAACATTTGTTTCATAAATTCACGCCTATATTCCGGAAAGGATAGACAGAGACGTAATAAACAGGTTATTTTGGAAATTAGATGGGCAAAATTGTTTTTGATACGGCATAGGAGGGGCAGCCGAGCGCAAAGGTCACCTGATGGTAAGTGACTACCGCCGCCTATAGACACCTGCAACTCAAAAGTCATAAGTGCGTTGCCGCCCTTTCAGTCCCTCCCCTCAGAATCAGAGGAAGAGGAAACGACAATTATAGAGCTGCTTAACAGTGGTTTTCAGTGAAGCCGTGGTATCACCTCGGTCGAGCCTGACCTATAATATTAATAATACATTACACATCCCACACACGGCCGTCTGAACCCAAACTAGGCAGAGCCTTTGCTATGGTAACCAGACTGCTGATAAATATACTTTTATATATATATATATATATACTAACCACTAGACAAACAGCCCCGTTGGCCCTATATGTGCCTAAATGTATTGAAACGAATGATAGGTTCGAATGGAAGGCAATAGAAGAAAAGGGATTTTACTTACATGGATGAATCGATGAGTGTAAACAATAGCTGGATCAACTCGGGTTCGCTTTTCTCTTGAAAAGTATTTTATATTGTGTAACCCTTTTGCGATACCTGCCCTATACTCGTGATAAAGTCAATTTATACACAGATTTGTTTATAACCTTTCCATCACCTGTTAGGGTATCGTATCAACATCACGTTGTATTCTGGTAGTAAGTTATTCACGCAGAATGTGTTTAATGTGCATTAAAACAGTTACCGCTAACCGCAATCATTTTAGGTACTTGTACATAAATGTGTATCTAGTACTGGCAATATGTGGTTACCATTACCAAGTTAGCAATGGTCGGTGAAAATTATTTGATTATTACCATTATATATCACACACAAACTATTGGTATCAGCAAAACACCACATACAAAATTAAAACGAAAGATAGAAGTTAAATAAAATATATTAGATGACACTAGGCTATTTGGATAAACCTTACGGTTACGTGTAGTGAAAAGGAAAGATTGATTTTGATTTGAAATAACAACTGTTTTTAGTACAATATTAAGTTTGACGACGGGTTCTTTTCTTGATAGGAATAATGTCAATCTCATGTACTGCTGTGATTTCTGGACACACCAAAAAAACACAGTAATTTCGCAGACTCAACAACGCTTTCGTTTAAACTATATTTGTGGAATATATAGCCAAAGACTTCTTGTATCCTTGGCAAAGTTGCATTAACAAAAAACAGAAAAAATTAAACATACCTAGTTCTGGAATACAATTACCACCTATAAATTAATATTTTTTGTTTCTTTGTAAGTTACATTTGAAAAAATGGCATAACAGTTAAGAATAGCTAACGTACTTTAGATATAAAGTCTAAAAGACATACTGAATATATTTTGCCATAATTATAAACGAGAATACTTAAAAGAAAATTTACAGCATATGTTGCAGTTCAGATGGCAAAGGAACTTAAACCATATCTTTAATTACATAGCTTACCTTAAAGCTTGAAAACATTTGAAGATGCCTCCATCGGCGCGGCCTCCATACTTAAGAGCTTTCCAGTTCTTCTGAACGCAGAAAGCCAGCATGTATTTATTATCTGAAAGAATTCTTTTTTCAAATTCTAAAAGAATGTACATCGCACTCATTTAATCACATTTTCTTTTCTGTTAAAAGAGTTGTTACAAAAATTGTATAAAAGCCATTAATTATCACACCTTTGCCATTCTCCTTGGCGAATAAAAAGTAATAAGCCGAACAACCCAAGTTGACCAGCAAGAGTAGAAGAAGCAATGCTCCAATAATATAGTCTAGAGTATCCGTTGGGATGTAATCATCTTTTGTTTTGCAGTAACGGACTGACGTTGTGTTGACCTGTTGAAAATAAATGGATAAAAAATTAATAATTCTTTTAAATTTAAATAAAGAAGATAAATTATATTTAAGATATCAACATGTTCATTTTTACAATTTTTGGTTACACCTCTTACAGATGCATTTACCGCGGGAGAACCATGCTTCAATACATATGGGCCGGTTCGACTTTAGTGATGCAACGGCCATACAAAAAACCGGAAAACCTGGAAGGTTACCGGTGAAAAAAATCCCTCACACTACTTAGAAGTTCAAAAGATGTTTTGAATGGAAAAAAATAAAAAAAAGACGCAACACACTTGATTGCTGATGATTCTTTAGTTGTAGGTGTCAACAGGCAGCGGTGTCAGCGGTAGCCACTTACCATCAAGTGACACCTCTGTACGTTCGCCTCCTATAACAAAAATCTTACCTGTAATCCATAACCTTTATGTAAAGTAGCATTAAGACAATCCTTGAGTATTTCAACGGTACTGTCACCAGCGTCAGCATGACTGATATTCAAACCGCAGTGCTTAGAGCCGCAAACTCCTCGGTGGAGCTTTGTATGTTCATAATTCTTGTACGTTAAGGATGAGAAGTTCTGGAGACAAAAGAAAATACTAAAGTATAACTGGCAACAGTTGAGAATTAAGAAAAGATACTAACACAAGATCTTCAAAAGGAAACAAAATCCATTGACTTTGTTTATCTACCTCTTGGAATTAATGCTTTGTAGTGTGGATCAAGGTCTTAATATAATTCGAATTACCAAAAAAGATATTTTTGCTTTGTTGTGTTAAATAGACCAGTGCTTGCCAAATTGAAAAATAATAAATAAGTGAAATATTTACCGACTTGTATAATTAAAGATAAAAAAGCTCTTAATTCCATAAATAATTCTTAATATTCCTTTTTCCATGTTTTTCTATTTAATTACCCTACCAGAGGAAGTTATCGTACTAAGTTGCCCATATTTACTAAAAATTAATTATATTTTAAGGCAAAAATCTTTCATAGCTATTTGTAATAACTATTCAAAGCATTTATATAATAAATATGTTTGATGTTTCTCAAATCTATAAACATTTTCTTGTTTAAATATAAGTCGCATCAGACACTAATTGAAACCGCGACCTCAAATACAAGCAAATAATATCAAGTAACAAGTGTACCATTATTAGTTATTCCCGAATCTCTGTTTACCCTCAAACACAAACACGATGAGAATATTATGATAAGTACACAATATTGTGTCAAGGTTATACCTACATATACGATGTTTGCGAACTATTGAAGTGAGTGGGCCAAACAAATTAAGCTTCTGCATATTTGTAGCGACTTGCCTTGAGTTGACTTGTGTGACTAAGATGTTTCTTATTCTTAGTGTAATAAAGTGTAGTATTTATTTAGGATTGAGTTCAAATGATTAACATTATAATTAGTGGCTTCAAACCATAACTACACATTGCATTGTTTTGTGATTAACAAAAGCTAAATACTTAGATTGGAAATTCACTTTATATTTCTAAACAGTTAAAAGCAAAGTAAGTAAGTAACAGCATTCAACTGTTAAAAAATTTATATTGTTTTCATAAGGATATACCATACTTTACTTACCTTTTGTAATATTAGAAAAAAAAACAATGTTTAACATTGGAAAGGATTTCAGCTGTTTTCTTTTTTTGATTTCAGACAAAACAAAGGGAACAGGCTTTTTTTTTAAAGTCATCTCCTGCATTATGAATATATCCTGTATCGCGGGGGACTTTACAAGCATACATAAACAGACACAAAGATCACCCAGACTCAGAACAACAATTTGTGGATCACACAGAAAGTGTCGTCCCATGTGTGGATCGGACCAACAATACTCAGCGTAGTAGTGAGCGGCGTGGCGACCGCTTAAACCACTAAGCCATCCGTGCAGTCAAGAGTCAATTGGGTAAAGAGAAAGGGATAGGTAGAATGAATTAGGGTTAGGGTACAAGTCTCGGATAGGACTGAGACTGTGGTAGCTCGAAAAAGCCGGGGTCGTATAAAGAGACCAGTAGGACATCGAATGACCATTAGAAACTGAATAAATATCTTACCTTAATAAACTGGTACAAAGGTGTGTCATCTTCCAAGATCGCCAAATCTACTATACAGTAGACGGCGTTCGGTTTTCTTAGACAAAGGTCGAAGTCATCCAGCTCGGACAGAGCTGGCATCGAATAGTAATCGATTGTTGCTTCTGCGGATACATCTGTTCAAAAAAGTATTTTGTTACTATTAATAAGTCATCAATATAAGTTGATGTGTTTTATTTTGCTTATAGCTTACTCATATAATAATTAATCAATTGATAATTTATTGTCACGTTTATGTGTAAATGTAAATATTACATACATAACACCGAATACATAAAATAAATTACGGTTTTAGTAAAACGAATGAAAACATGTTTTAACACAAAGCCGAACCTGGACGCATAGAAATATTAGCTGTTATGTTTATGTTAGAGGAGGCATACGAGCAGACGGGTCACCTGATGGAAAGTGACTATCGCCGCCCATGAACAAATGTTTTTATGTATTTATGTTTATGTTAGGAGTTGAGGGTGTATTTTACAGCAATGAAATAATTTTTGGTAAGTGTGAAATAACGATAGTTTTAAGTAATTATGCAATGTATTTCCAGAAAGTATATATAAAAAAGTAAATAAGAAATTAAAAAAAAACATTTTTAGAAAGATAATATTTGTGTTCTACTACTATCCAGATGACCTGTTACTCCATTCAAATAAAATCTAAAATGATCTGTGTCATCTACCATGTCTTTAGAAATTATTTGAAGTTCATTCTCGTTCATACTCCAGATTATTGTCATACCAAATTTATATTTGTTAGTAGTTTAGTCTTCATCATCATCATCAACAGCCTTTAGCCAGTCCATTGCTGGACATAGGCCTCTCATTAGAAAAGAGGTTTTCATTGTCTAGTCTTCATTGATATAAATCTCTTTGTCACGACTCTGTAACACGGTAACTGATATTTCTAAAGCCAACTCAGCAAATTTACCTAAACTACACTTAGTTTACTTTGCGCAATGCATCTGTGAAATAATGTATATTTACACATAAAAATGAGTTAAATATATTTGGTTTAATATTTAGTAATAAGTAAGAGGTCGGTGACCCTGTCCTAGTGACTTCTTCAAACATAGGACGGAGATACAGGTACATAAACCTAACCTTATCGAGGTAGTGCAGTCTCTGTCTTGTTATCCTATCTGAAACTTGCGATGCCCCTAACAATTGCTCTGTTATCCTAAGGAGGGTTGGCATCAAGCAGGTGCCTGAAAGCCCTTGTCAAATTACCCCAACCATGTATAAAATTAGGCTAAGGGTATTAAATGATGATGATTTAGTAACAAGCTTAGATGCAAATTGTAATTCTGCATGGTTATGCGGTCTAAAGGCAGGTACTGTTGATGACTTATCAAGATGTGAGATTACACCGACTGCTAAGAGACGAGAGCTGTCCAATATGACCTCACTCTCCATCTGATTAACAATTGAAAATATCATCATTTTATCTATTCCTATAACATTCAAAGAAACCCGGACAGGGTAATAAATTAACGTTTCCGTATTGGTAAATCACAATGAGAATTTGTCTGAATGTAAAACAAATTTTCGAATGCAAAAAAATTAATCACACATTATTTGTTAATACAACTTTTTTATGTTGCTCTTTGGCCTTTTTCTTATTTAATTATGTTCAAGAAATTAAAGTAAACCCGCACTGTAATACTTCGTAACATCCTCCTAGCCACTTACATATATAATGTGTGTTTACGTGACTTATCATTTTATTCTGTTGTATAGCATTGTGGTTTGGGACTTGAAAGCTTTCAGTCAGATAGTTTAAATGATATTATTAACTTTTAGTAATTTTTTTTTAAATGTTTTTTTATTTATCCTATCCACTTTAGATCTGATTCAATGTTAAAGGTTTGGCTGCATACTAATCTTTCAGCTCCTGCAGTATCTGCTTTAATGATTAACTTTCTATAATAAAGGGCCATAGATATTACTGATTAATTGACTTTTTTTTAGTCAAATCTAGTTTTATTAGAAGTGTATTTAGTATTGTGAGAACATATATTTTTCTTTATCAATAAATAATCGAGAGAAGAAATGTTGTTTGTTTTTATTGCGTGTGTTAATCTTTAGAACTACATTTCGGATTCAAAATAAAGTGCTTATGTAAGTTAAAGTATTTAATGATGAAAGAAGTAACACCGTGCTACCTTAAAGACTCTTAAGAGCAGAACAATGATCATAAACAGGCTACTATATACAATACATACAAGCATTCAGGGCAGAATGCTTTACCCTCCGTACCTATAAATTTGTATTTATCAAATTATTCATTATTGATTGAATAAAGTATCAGTCCTATTTCTTAGCGTTCCATGGATTCACCATCACAACCATGGTGATTCCATCCATCCATCTGTAGCGTGATAGATGGGGCAACACGCGCGGCTTCGAGTGCGCTTGGGAATTGCGACCCAGGGATAGGCGCTCACCTCCACTGTCTGCTGTGTTACCCCTCTCCCTAACTATATTTGATTTACTGATCACTTCTGATTGATTTGATATGAGCCTAGCAATGCCGCTTTGGATATTCGTTCAAGAAAAAGAGTTTACTAAAGCTCTTGGCAATCCAAGGTCTTTAAGCAGGTTATAGAGGGATTCAGCTGGCATACAACGCAACGAAATAACCATTTTCAGTTATTTCGTTGGTTGAGTCAAAGTACTTGATTCTTTTATTATAAAACTAATATTATAAATGTGAAATTTAGTTTGTTTGTTTGTTTCACCAATGGGAAACTATTTATCAAAGAGTAACATAGGGTACTTTTTGGTACGATAACTGACAACAACAAACAAACAACACGCAGGTGGAACCGTGGGCATAAGCTAGTAAAACATAAAGAAGATAGACGAACTAAGAAAAATATAAAATATATTCATGTGGATTGCTACAGCTGTTTAAAATAATCACATCATCAAAAAAAGTGGTTCCATTATATTTTAAATAATGCTGCAAGGTTATTATTATTATTTACTGTTGTTATTAGTGTTGCCATTGTTAATTATAATATGACATTACATTAAAAAAGTGGTTCGTCACGTGCTTAAAACAGCAGTATTCAATATCACAGTGTAATATTTGTTTTTGTTTTACTGGTTATTTATTATTTTGTATATTTATATATATTATTAGCTGTATATATATTTTAGTAGTTTAAGTTTTATCATGCCTGTAAAAGATAACAATTTATTCATTCTTATTCTTTCATTCTCAAAATTTCTTTTGGCTCTACCACAGCTCTTCATAAAATCCTTTGACAGTTTGTCTTTCAAATACATGACATTGGCGAAATTGTGGTTACACTCTACCACAAAGCCATTAACCAAAAGTTGAAGTTGAAAACAGCAGTATACTATAAAAAAAAAATGTCTTAATCTGTCATCATACATAAGAACTACGTGTTGACACTCGCATTGAAGAATGTTTAAAGAACTCATTTATATAAGATAATACGAAGTGATAAACAGACTGTTATTGAAAGATTAACTTTGACGTTTGAGAAATTCGTTTTCTGATAACTTTAGGTGAGAGACGTTTTCAAACAATTTAACTTGTCAAATTCAAATCCAATTATGTTATTTTACATAATTGGTTACCAATTATTCAAAATCGTCTATTACCTTTCTTTTAAATATTATTTTAAATGATAAGTAATGATCATCTTTGTCCGTGTGGTGACGGATTAAGAATACGGAATGTCACCACCTCTATACATCCCGTGGGGTGTCGTAAGAGCCGACTAAGGGACCAAACTACGCTGGACAACAGCACTGCAAAGAGAAGGAAAACTTGAAACAAACCCTATACCAACCCGTCTGGCCAGCGTGGCATATGAGGCCAAAACCTCCTTTCTAAGGGGAGGCCTATGTCCAGTAGTGGACTATTAAAGGCTGTTGATCGCTACAGAAGATTGCTCCGCACCGAAAAACAAGGTAACAAATAACAATAAGTCCGCTTGAATCAATCTATAGCCACCCGTTTCCAATTGGTCGAACCTTGTGAGAAGAAATCAATCAAATACACTCACGGCCACTCCTTCAATTCAACAGATAGTTTTAACAATAACAATTATAATACAGCATTCTTTTCTTGTGTGCTATTATGTTATCATAATATAATAAATAAACTAATGTAACAGACAAATTACATTTTATATAAAGACTATTGCCCTAGTCATAGCACGTCCCAGTTTAGGGGACAGTCCATCGACAGTACACCTTTGTTTCTTGCTTTTGATATCAATATTATAATGTAAGTAAATTCATCATCATCCCTGTCCTGTCGTTTTCACAATTTTATTTGGAGTCGGTATAATTTCAAACATCGCTAATGATTTCGTCCAGTTTCTACCTGCAAGTGTATTCGTTTTTAGACGTGACTATGGAAGACGGCATATTAGGGCCAGGAAAACGGATCGAAGCCCTATCCCTAGGGAATGAGATAAACCAGTGGAACAGCACATCAATTGTTTATGTGAATGTTGCAGTTGGTAACAAAGATTGAAATATATTCCAGTATTTATATTCAATACTTTTTTTACTATTTAATAAGGCTTTTCCATCTTTAGTTTCATAAACGCTATTCCTCTCCATTATAGTATTAGATTTATCCTGTACTAGCTTTTGCACGCAGCCCCGCCAGCCTGTTTGTCGGTTATCGAGGTAAAAAGGCCTATCTGTTCACCTCAAGCGTCGAAAAATGTCTTGATGTACCAAAATTCCAAAAGTATCTAGACTATCCTTTTTTTTTTTGTTAACCGGGGGCGATCCTCATGGTTGTCCTCCGCCCAGGGGAAAGGGCGGAGGGGTCTGACAGACGGTAAAAAGGCCTATGTTACTCGCTGATAATGTATTCCATTGGGGCAATAATTTTTAAAATTGTTTCAGTTTTATAGACATGAAAGTGTAACAAACAAACATAAAAAATAAACAAACAAACTTACTTTCATATTTATAATATAAGTATGTCCGTGTGGTGACGGATTAAGAATACAGTGTCACTACCCCTATTCATCCCGTGTGTGTCGTAAGAGCCGACTAAGGAAGCGAAATACGCAGGACAGAAACACTTCAGAGAGAAGGAAAACTTGACACAAACCCTA